TTATTATGGTTTCCTTTTTAAAGGTGAGAAAGTTGTTTTTGTTTTTCTTTTTCTTTTTTCGCATGCGAGCGATATTTAGATATGAATTATTAATTACTTTTTTCCCGATGCACCACAATAAACAATTTATTGTATGTGTTGTTTTGGTCGTGCGATTTCAATATCGTTAAATTTGTTTACAACTAATGAACACGTTTCTTGATTCAAATTCAAATACACAGACCTAAAATAAATTTTAAATCATAAATTTTGATGTGTGTGAATATGGGTGTACAACAACAACAACAACAACAACAACAGCAATAATGCTATAAGCTATTTAATAAACATTTAAACGACAATAATAATAACGGCATTACCATTGGAAGCAGCACCAGACCTATATAAGCAGATACACAGTAAATAGAACGCAATGATCCCGTCAGCATGTCTACTAGTCGACGTCCACCGCGCACGTCCCCCTTCCCGTCAAAATATACATATATATATGTATGCATGCAATATACATATATATATATATATAGGTATGTGTATATACCTTAGTAAGTGTTTCCTTCATTCGATTCGCATTCTCCAACAAGCACATTTATCAGGTTTTCTTCCATTACATTAACATTTACAACTGATTAAATTTGTTATTAGTTTTTTATTATTTTCGTTTCATTTATTTTTGTTTTTTTTTTGTTTTTTGTTTTTTTTTGTTTTGTTATTGCTATTATTTTTATTTGTGAAAACAAAAATTTATAATTTGTGACGTTTTCTTTCTTTCCTTCTCTGCGCTTAACAGTTTGCTCAGTCACTCGTTGAAAGTCAGTCATATTGTGTTAATGATATTTATAAAAAAATAATATAAATAAATAAATAAACTTGTAATAATTTATTGATATAAAAGAAAAAATTAACAATAATCTCTAAAAAAGTTAAGTTAAACATAAAAGTCGAAACGGCCAAAAAGGTAATAATATTGTAATATCGGTGGATTGTTAGAAAGAAAAGAGCAAAAAAATAATGCCAAAATCGAATAAGAGTAAAAGAAGAATAACTGTCAACATAAAATAAATATCAACATTAATCGAATTTCATATCGTTTTGCTCCATACATATACTGCGGTGCGGTAAGCTAAGGCAGGCAAACATTTTTCATGTTCGAATTTTCGTTATAATTGCTCACAATATTCAATTCAGGCTGTGCTTGTTCCGATGTCCAAAATCGCGTCTTGTCCACGCATTTGCTTAATATATTAGGTCGGCGGGAAGTGCTTTTCGCAAGTCGTATTTTTAAATAATAAAACACCTAAAGATGTTTGAAGCCTTACGATCAATAATAGGTAATTTTTTTTTTAAACTTACTTAACCACGTGGACTATGACCACAATTGGTTTCACTAAAGGTAAATAATGGATCTATGTTCAATATGATCATCGAAAGATAAAATATGATGATCTTTGTACTGTTGTCTTCTTCATTATTGTCATCGAAGATCTTAATAAGGCATTCATAAATGTGTTCACGAAATAATTTCATATTTCGTTTCTCAGCATCATATCGTAACTACCTTCATTCGAAATGTCAGATCGTGTTGCATATCGAGCGAGCATCCCTCGTAAGAGTATCGAAATCTTGCTTTAAAAAGTGTCGAACTGCAATAAAACCTATTGTACTTGCATAAAATTTTACTCGATATGGCAGAGCGTTTTCATTTTTCGGCACATGACAAAGGAGTAACAAAAAAGGAAATAAAAGTGCAAAATTTTTATATGAAAGCCTATGATTTGTGTATAACCTGCGTAGCTCAACAAGCGTATGTATTATATGCCGTCGGATGTTTATTTTTACGCTTTACAAGCACACGATGAACTTAATATGGCTCTCGTGAAGCGTATATATGACGAATTAAAAACATTCAGGTGATATCTCCTAAGGAGAAGTCAATTATAACAATATTTGAACGTGGACTTACTTTCGCTTTAGGATCCGATATTTATTAATAGCAATTAGCTCGAATAGGCAAGGCTTTCGAAAAGAGACCCTTCCGTACTGCCAATGATTTATTCTGTCACGGGAAAAGTTCCGAGTTGTGAAATGTTATGATCTAATCCCAGTCGCAGAAAACATCTTAGTTGGAACTGATGGAGGCGCATTCTTCAAAAAATTCTTCATGTCTTAAATTGTACTTATCAAAAAAAAAAAATGTTCAAAATGCTTACTGTCGGCTTAGATTGAATTATTTCAAACGCACTGCCTATGTTCTACACTTTGACTATTTTAAAGTAAAGTAAGACAACGATGTCTTTATACTTTTGCAGCTTGCAAATCCGCATTAATACACATACTTTAATATTATGATATCTATAGATAGCATTGAAACAATTAAAAAAAAAAATGGTATTTAGCTACAAAATATTTGCTTTCGATTCGAATATTCATAGGAACTCTTTAGAAATCGCGTGGCCTTTGCAAGTGCATTGTTAACAAAATGCTGACAAGGTTTTTCCCATAAGTACTTTATAGCAGCCGATATCCAAGATTTGCATGAAAGTAAATACAGACTTCGAATTTTCTGGTTTATGTTTTTGTTCCCAAGCCAATTACACGTCGTTGGTTACAATCATCAACAAACCTCGAATTTTATGCGAGAAGCTATACTATTGCTTCCAAGTCTTGCGTTCAATTTTTCTTAATCGTTAATAAAAAGCATTTTACTCATAACTCAAACACACTACATGCGCGGACGGTAATGGATATAAGTCCGTTGGCAGATTTGTCGTTTTCAAGACTACAAAAGTTGATAGAGAGATGGGTAAATCTTCTGCATATACACCTTTAAAGGCACTCCAAGAATCAAAAGCCAGAATAGCTTAAAAATCAACATAATTTAGAACAATATACCAAATTCGAAAAAGGTTTCTTGTGGAAAAAAAAAAAAAAAAAAACGGAATTGAAAATTATTTAAATATATTTGTTATTGAATCTTATTGAGCAGTAAATATCTACACAATAGAGGGAGGGAGATGCGATTTTTCTTCTTATTTACCAGTCATTTTGACAATTTTAAGAGCCCGCATCGAATCCAATTTTATAAATTACACTTAAGCTCAGGAGCAATCCAAGATTCTGTTCTTTCTATCCATTTTTCCTCATTCTGCGCAATGGGAAACTTTGCTGATTTAATAGCAGATGACAGTACTTTATGTGATCCGTTTTGTTTAACTAAGTGACCATGCAGCATCAAGCAAAAAAATAAACGCTGAATGATGAGTGAAATCCTTAATCGACATTTGGCAAAAATATCTGTATAGGATTCATAGAACCACTCCCTTGATGGTGTCAATTTGGAAGCAACGGTAACTGTTGACGTTTTGGTCGTGAGAGTATAATATACCGGTCAAAAGCCCTACGTTATTAATACGGTGCAGGCGATAAGCGTACCATTTGCAATGATTGTGTGGGTGGGAGCCTGCAAATCGTTTTGGGGACCTTCGATCAAATACAGACGTTAACCGGTTAATCGAAATTGTATCCCAAATGTTCCATAGCCTCGAGCATCGGCTTAACCTAGACTGCGTTGTACCTATAGATGGGAGTATACTTTGGACAAATGCTCAAGAAAAGAGAAATAGCATTTGTCCGCCAATTAAGTTCTTCAAGGGCTTTCTTAGGTTCCCTATCCACTCGTCCATTTTTTAATCAATCAAGTCATATTTGTGTTCAATTTCAGTTTTCTATATTCATTTCTATAACTTTAGCGAAATTTTAACGCCAGTAGTGTAGTATGTTATAAAGTTTCCCTCTAGTAAGCGATTGAAGATATTGGTTAAGCAAATGTAACAAATGTAAACCATTTTAAATTAAGATTACATTTTCCTAAAGAAATCAGTGAGTATTATTTTTATTTAGGGTTTTAGTATGACCATTAGTGGTGATCTCTCTGCTATGACTTACATAACCATTCAAAGTGTGTGAAAATATTTTTGGAAATATTTTTATTAAGCGTAATGGTTTTGGTGTCATTGCATTTGATAGGTTGAAAAGCATATTCACATAATCACATCGCCTAAATTATGTAATGTATAATTTTTTGGCGTTAATGGGCGAACGCCTAGATCGGTCTTTTGATTTTCAATCGTAATTCACCGTAATTCACGAGATGTTGCAATTATCTCAATAGATAGAGATAGACAAACAGACAGCAGTTGGACAGACAAACGGGCAGGTATAAAACGATTACACATTCATTCCGATCAAGAATTTAGCATACTTTCTGAGCAAGTATGAACAACTGATAATCCGAAGCGAATTTTCATCGATGAAAGATATGACTTAAACATTGTTCCAATGAATTATTATAACCATATCGAGGTTCTTTGCAAAGGGCGGAGAGGAGGGTCACTCGAGATTAAACAGCTATTTTTCATAACCGGACCTTAGGTGGCGGGTACTCAGTTAAAATTTGCCTTTAAGAGAACATAGTTTTATTTGTTTCTTTCTTTATACTTGTTAAACGCCATCTCTCGCGTGATGTTTAGCATGTTTGTAATGAAATTCGCATGAGATAACAAAGAACTTTGCCGTTGCTGGTGGTTTAATTTGCTTTTTCCTTCTTATGACTAATAAAAAGGAAAAAAAAAAATGCAAATAATTATTATATTTTGTTAGAGCTATTGGAAGCTTGTAACGAATTGAAATTATTTCTGCTATTATCTATATATATAGAATATATATATATATATATATATATATATAATTAATTTGATACGTGCTGACAAAGGCATAGCAGATACAAATACGAAACGGTTATCAATGTGTAACAATTTTAGAAGAAGGCTAAGTGAGAGAAGGTGTATGTAAGCACAGCAAAACAAAACTTAATTCATACTGAAGATAAATAAAAATATTTTTTAAAAGCCATATAATAACAATAACAACAACAGTAAGATAAACAATAATAAATAATAAAATTGTTTTGTTTAATTATTGCATTTTTCTTTACAATTCCTTAGAGTTCTGTTTGGAGTTTGGGTAGCCTAAATTGGAATCTTTCATTTTCTGGACGTAATTCTCTAAAGCAACAACATCATAGGTCTATACGCAGGAGGTAATACTTTTGCTGTGCTTATTATTTACAACAATGCATGAAGCTTGTTGTGAGAAAAACAAAAATTTTGTTTATATTTCTTCAATGAATTTAAACCGTATGCGTCATTGTTTTGATTATTGTTATTATTATTATTATTGCAGCAGTTTTACAGCCATACAACAACGTCGCTCAAAAACGCAATGGCATAAACCTCTAACAAATACCATTTTTAGTACACACTTTAAAGACACAAGTCGCAACAAAGAACTTCATATTGAACAGTTGGTCGCCAAAGGTGCTTATGGTGTTGTTTTCAAAGTGATTGATAAAGAACATCGCAACCGAAATAAGAAACAATATATCGATAATAATATTGATGATGTTTTACCTAACGGGACATATGCTTTAAAAGTTTTAAAGAAATCAAAGGTATTATTATTCATTTATTTTTTTTTAAATTTTCCAACTTTACTTCCTAGCTGACTTGAATTAATTCTCTATTCGTTTTTTCGTAGATTATCGCTGAGAGTAGCGTACAACAAATTAAAAACGAAGTCGATATACAAAAAGTTTGCGGTCATTATCCTTTCATTGTCCGGCAAATTGATATATGGCAAAATCGTCATAATTTACACATATGTAAGTAAATGATTACAGATATGTATGCGTGTGACGCGTTCAATGACTTCCACTAGCACGCGTTCAAAAACATTCACAAATCGTATTAGGAGGAATTGAATTGAGATTAGTTTTCACCAATAAATTAATTGATTTATTTGCAATTTTAAGTTGAGAAATTGAAAAGAATTGCAAAAACTGCAACATTTGTTCAACAATTTTATGCTTATACATAATTGTGGCGGGAAAATGCCTATAAAACATATGGCGGAATTCTCTTTCCTTCTACGTGCGCTACTTGTGTACGGTCTTTCATTAAGACGAGATCTCTTCATCAACCGTTGCACTGAACCGTTCGTCTGCTGCTTTGCCATTCATATCATCATGTAACGTTTCGCAGATATCTGCTCTTTTTAAAAATAGTTAGTCAATAAAGTGAAAAAGTGTAGTGAGCCACGCCCCACCATTAAATATCCTACACTTAAGCAAAAAGCAAAAAGCAAAAAGTCGTTATTTGGGAAATGATCAAAGAAGTGCTTCGATTTCATTTTCCATTTCCATTTTCAATAGCGTTCGTCCTTGGACTCAAACACTTAGGTGTTCGAAATTTCGGAATGAACACAAGAATAAAAATCCTTTTGTGTGTCGTGTGTTTTTTTCCCTTAACATGTTAGACTATGAAACAAGTGCAAAAATTGCGAGAGAAAATTTTAGCAGAGATCTGTGCACAGGGACTATTGTTTGTCCCGAGAACGAATAGTTTCCTTATATATTTTTCCCTCTTGTTAAGTGATCAAATAGGTCATTAAAATGTTAAGCAAAGTTAATCCATAATTTTCTATCCGCTAGGGGTGAACGAATTTCGTTCATTGAAAAAATGTAAAAATGAAATCTGAGAATCAGAAGCCACATGTATGTTGTGTGATTTCAAAATTTATTCCCGTTTTGAAAACATAACAAATGAAAAGGATTTTGATCATGTACTCCGTTCCCTTCCCTTCGCTCGCTCACTCGCTCGCTCCCCCTACACTCCCTATTATTTATATTATAATTTCCGACTTCCCTCATAGCAGTCAAGTCTCTTCAATTCAAATTATTTTGCAAAGGATGAAACAGATAAAAATCTGGAAGGGCACTAGACGCACTAGACGTAATGCCATTTGTACCCTTGCTTTTAAGTGTTGAGCACAATGGTTGCATTTGCAATATTTCTGTACACGATTTTTACTCCAGCAATACAGTGCGAGCTATATGTTTAATTACATCATACGACACGATGCAAATGCATTGATTGCGTTCAGCGCTTTAGTCGTTTTCCCTCATTATATTTTTGTGCACTACCCCCCATCTCCCATTACTGGCGAAGACTTGAGCGACTATCAAAAGACGATTATTCTTACGCGATTATGAAGAAATTTATTGTTGAATTGTCAATTTCTATTCTTAAATATTATTTATACCTTTATCTGGAAATTAATTCAGAATTTTGAATATTATTCGAATCGCTGTTTTTTTGTCCTATCGAAAGTTAGGGAATTTTCGACGTATATTATATATAAATAATGAAATATTGTAGAATTCTCAAGATTTAGTTTTCCAATACAGTCTCTCTAGTTATTGTCTTACATTTTGAATCTTAATTCTGCCCACAAATGAGTGAAAAAATTATATTTAGATAACTGTCTGTTAATTGTGGGATTATAAGAGAAAGTGCGCGAGAATACTTCGCTATTACACTCAAAGCATCAGCAGCAACAGATTTTTCGTAATTGAGAACGGAATGCAGACTCAAAGCTTATCTTTTTTTTTTTTTTCTTGCTTGGATATGGTCCATATATGCTTCGGTTGTTTGGGCAGAAAGTTCATAAAGTTTTTTTTTTTTTTGTTTTTGCAGTATCCGAATACGTACCTAATGGGGAATTATTTTCAAAAATTTGTACATTTTCTTTGGATTTGATTCGTCTTTATTTGGCTGAAATTGCTTTGGCTTTGGGTATGTATGTTGTGCGCTTTTTGTAATCCGAATTGCTTAATATATTTTCAATTTGTTCTCTCGATTTAGATTTTCTACACAACGCTGGAATAATTTATCGTGATGCGAAATCAGAGAATATTCTCTTAACTCGTGATTACCATTTGAAATTAACGGATTTCGGTTTAAGCAAATGGTTAAAATTGGGTTTCACCACAAAGACAATGTGTGGCACTCTACAATATATGGGTACGATATGAAATTTACTCTCCAAAAAATTAAACAACTATAGAAATTTTCAAATTTGCACTAAAAGGAAGCTAAACACAAAAAACAAATAACAAAAAAAAAAAAGAAAAAAAAAAGAAAGCAAAATTAAACCATCTGAGAAACTTTGATTTCGCTTAATAATAGAAAATACTAGATTTATTTGTATATATCTATCTAAATATCCCAAAATGAATGCTCGATCGGAGATTTTCGATTTAACACTAGAAGGACGCCAAGTTGATGAGGCGATAGCTAGTATATTTCATACGGTGTTATTCCATCGCTGTCTTGGCAAATATATTTATACGGGCGACGCTCAGTATTCTATAGGTACTGTCGGCTATACAGACGTTGACTGTGATTTCATTGATTTCACTTACGTATGTTGCACGTCAGATAGCTTACAGAGGACAGTTAAACGGGAAATTAATCTATTTAGCGAGAAATTGAGGTCAAATGACAGTTGTGGTTCCGGACAAATTAGTTTAGAGTTCTTTCAAAAGAAAAAATCACATTGGCCTTTCACTGCTGAGTGTATTCCGTGGGAGGTGTGGACCGTTCATTTAGATCTCATAAAACACGAAACCGAAGATGAACGTCAGCTATGTCGGGAAAATGTGGCCGATTTATTAACCGAGAAAGTCATTAATATTACGGAGATAATGAATCGTTTGGATTATGTACCAAAAACGCCGAGTCAAAGTGAATTGGATTTAATATTCGATACCTCATTTCCTGACGTACAGCCATATCTATTTAAATTCGTTTCGTCTACATCAAATACGGCATCACCCTCCGTCGGAAATACCGTCAAGAAAATTATCAAAGAAACGTTTGCATTGTGACGCGTTGAAAAGCCGGCAATGCTCCTCAAAAAGCATTATAAGCTATGTGATGATGCTAACAATACCGCTCAACGCTTTAGTGACACGACAAGTATTACAAAAAAGTCTCAAGTCATCTATAAGTTACGTAAGCAAAATGTATATAATGTAGCCGTTAATAACGTTGACGATTTGAATTTATGGCGTAATAACAATAATAAACATCAAATGATTGTTTATTATAACCCATCATTATCAACGTCATCAACAGTAAAGGCAACAACAACAAAAATAACCACAGCTACAACAACGGCTATTACAACAGCCACTGACACAAAATGTTCATTTTCGTTAGTAGTGCGTGGTGTAATGTTACTCATGTGTTTTTGCCATCATCAACAACAGCCGCATCAATCATGTTTAGGTACCTTGTAGAAGTTTGAAATTTTCTTAACTTTAAGCGATTATTTAGTATAACTATTTTACACTTTAAAGGATCAAAATATTTTCATGAGAATGTGCTTCAGTTTTAATTTAAGTAGAATTTCTTAAAAATTACACACAACACTCGTGATAGCTTAACAGACACAAATACCTTTTTTATACAAAAACAAAAGAAACAAAAAAACGGCAAAGACAACTGCAACGCATATAATCTATTTACTATATTTTCATATTTACCAATATTTTCTATTTATTACTATTATTAATATAATTTTAATATAATTTAAATGAGAAAAAAAAAAAAAAAAGAATCTTGACACATATTCAACTTACGCTCTCCCTCGTACACCGAGGAGAATAAGTTTTGATTGTAGCCCAACGTTCGTTTATTTAATTTTACATGCATATGCTAAAAGAGAAATGTATGAATGTTTAGGTTGTAAGCAGTTAAATAATATAATTAATTAGAAGCATAGAATTTCGAATTTCACGTTAGTTTGGTAAGGAACACAAAACCAAAATGAAAACCTGAATGAATCAGAAATGGAGTTAAGTATAGGAAGTTACATTTTTTATTTTTTAATTTTTTTTATTTTTATTTTCTTTTTTTAAATTTTCTGACGATTGCCTATAATTTTTGTGTAGCTAATAATAGCCATTTAAACTGCCAGTAATAATATACAGGTTAATATAAGTATGTCTCTCTGTGTATTGTATGTAAGTATGTACAGGAAAATATAAGAAACCATTTATCTACAATCTCGCAGGTAGTATTTTGCAAAAAAAATTTCAGTTCAGAAATTTTATACTCATCACCCCGAAGGACGATATATATTATATATCATTCTGTTTGTAGTTCGTAAGAGTGCACATTGAAGGCCAAACTAATTATATATATTTCCGATCAGCATGAAATTCAGAACTGAGATAATCACAATCATCACGTCCGTTTGCCTGGGGATTTTGCTGCCTGTTTTTTGATTGGAACCTCAAAAATCCGTAAAATCGTGAATCTGAAACTTAAACGTTTCTACAAGTGTCAACCATACCTGTAATAGCTTCAAACTTTCGATGCAAATATATATTTGTTTCGGACTAGATTCGGATTTAAGGATCCGTTAATATGAACAAAAATTCGTATTCGTATTTCACATATTCACCTAAGATTTTGCCCACAGCGCGAACTTGGCTTTCTTACATTTAATTTTATCTCAATTTAAAATATTTTGCTATTTTAATTAATGCTGCTTGCAAATTTATAAAATTAATAATAAAATTCATTTTAAATGCAATAATTAACAATCAATCTAGAATCATATAATCGATCAATGGCTTCCACAGCAATATGATTTCGTTAAACCTTTTTTTCCAACAAGACAATGCGATTCAATTAAAAAGAAATTATTTTCTAAAAAACTTACCTCTTCAAAGAGGATGATACGAAATTTATAGAAAATTACGAGCAATTTACTGTGTGAGAAATTTAATATTTATCTCATCACTTCATATTTAGATTATATTCAATGTAGATTTTATAATTGTCCAACGTAAAATGTTCTTAGCCTAACTTACTTTTAATTGACAAAGTTTGTCGTCGTTTGACATTCTTTAATAATAACGGGCTACTCACAGGGGAAATAAAATAACTTTTGCTGTTTAATTATAGTTAGATGTCATTTTTGTTGTTTTCCAGCGTTAAGCGAGTGATCGAGTTATATTTGCACTATAATGAGATTAATTATTCGAATTTGTTTATCTTATTGTTGAATACATCCTTTCTTATCTCTCCGCCTGTCTTCAATTATAGAACTATAATGGAGTAGTGATATTTTCGTGTCTGTCTGCTGCATATAGTATGAAAAATATTTCATTTAATTCCTGTTTCAAGTTTCAAGATTTTGTAGTATGCAATATTTTTTATAATAAAATGCATGCGATATTCTTATTGCGACACTAATTGGCGTAATAAAAATATATTTTTATAACAATAAAAATGTAGCAAAAACATTTTTGATTTCTTTTTTGTGTTTTTTAGATTGCATATATAATAAGTAAAATCCTTTAAGGGTTTTCGTTTTTTTTAGAGCTTTTAACACGAATATGACAACAAAATGACACTGATTACACTCTATGCTATATGCTAATTCCGATTTATATATAGTCGCGCTTCACCAATTGTATGATCCATAGTTGCTTTAGTTTTTTGCAATTATTTTTCGATTTTTTCATTGTAATGTACAAAATTTTTTATTGTTTGTATTCTTTTCGCCTCCATTTTCTAGAGCTTTCGTTCTACGAATTTGTGAAAATTGCGGTAAAAATGGAAATTCAAATATTTGATTTATTTAGTATAAAAGAAATTCTAAATTTTAGAAGTGTGTTTCCTTTTTTTTTTTTTGAAAGTAAAGTATCAGAATAACCAAGTGCTTGGTGAAATTTTAGTTTCAAAATTGTGATAAGTAGTGGATTGGAATTATATAAAATGAACAAAAGAGAAGAAAAAGAGGTAACAACGATTTTTTTTTCACTTGTATATATACCATTATCTATCTATATATGTGCATATATATATATTTATATTTATATATATATATATATATATATATATACATCCATAGACGCACAGAAGATAGGGGAGGATAAAAATTTTAAAAACTTTGAATGACGCCTTAAACAGATGAATCGTTTCACTAAGAAACGAACAAGAAATGAATTCCTTGATAAATTTTATTTTTAAGTAGATGACCTATTTATTATTATTTATTGAAATGAAAAATTAACGAAAAGGACCGAAAAGAAATAGAAATTTACTGCAACTTCAAGGTATATAGCATAGATTTTATAAATAAAAAAGAACATAAATTCCACTTAAATAATAAAAAATATATTGTGATTCATTTAACAATTATTAATTAATGAAATAACAAAAATATAAGTAATTAAATAACTAACAGTTCAGTTTAAGTGTAAAAACCATTTAATTAAATAGAAAAATGTAAGGAATATCGTTTAATGCGTGGTGTACGTCAATAAGCTCATACTAGCAACAGTAATGGACGAAATTTTGTTCTTAAAATTTTTTATGTACTTGTCCTTAATCACTTTTTCGCGTTCTAGAATTAAGTTGTAAATAAAATATATACATATATATATATATATATATATATATACATACATATATATATATATATATAGAAAATTTGGGAATGTGCTTACTATGTGTGTATGTTTTATCTAAGCTCCCATGCTTTAAGAAGCATATAAATGAGATTGAGTTTGAAGTCAAAAATATCTGAAAACACATAAAAAAATATTCTAAAACTAAATTTATTTTTACTATACTTAGCAATAATTTATAAATATTTTATAAATTTTCAATTTATTAACAATTACATATACACCTATTTATAT